AGAACAAAGATCTACGGCTATGCATCGATTATCGGAAACGTAACGCACAAACCGTAAAGAACGCCGGCCCTCTCCCTCGGATTGATGATCTTCTTGAGCGGTTGGGCGGCGCGACGTACTTCTCGAAGTTGGACTTGAAGTCAGGTTACCACCAGATTGAAATCCAGCCTCAAGACCGGTACAAGACCGCGTTCAAGACGCGGTACGGGCATTTTGAGTGGGTTGTCATGCCTTTTGGCCTCACCAATGCCCCCGCGACTTTCCAAGCAGCGATGACGACTGAGTTTCACGACTTGCTCGATCGCAGCGTCCTCATCTACCTTGATGACATCTTGGTTTACAGTAGGACGTTGGACGAGCACATCGTACACSTTCGCGTTGTTCTGGATCGTTTGCGACTAGCCAAGTACAAAGCGAATCTCGACAAGTGCGAATTCGCCAAGCAAGAGCTTGAGTACTTGGGTCATTTTGTCACGCCGAAAGGCATTCGTCCCTTAGCGGACAAGATCCAAGCCGTCGTGGATTGGCCGGAACCCCGTTGCACGACGGATGTACGCTCTTTCATGGGTTTGGCTGGATATTATCAGGGATTCGTCGAGTCATACTCAAAAGTGGCCACTCCTTTGTCGAGACTTCAGTCCCCTAAGGTGCCCTTCGAGTTCGACGACGCAGCCCGTGGCGCGTTCACTACGTTGAAGGCAGCGATGCAAGTCGCACCTGCCCTCCGTATATACGACCCCACCCTACCCACCCAAGTGACTACGGACGCTTCGGGATACGGTATTGGCGCGGTGTTGGAACAGTGTCACGAGGACGGTTGGCATCCGGTCGAGTACTTCTCCCAAAAGGTGCCTCTCGTAAACACTCTCGATGACGCTAGGAAGAAAGAGCTACTCGCGTTTGTCACCGTTCTCAAACGGTGGCTCCACTTTCTTCTCGGCTGTCGGCGTTTAAATAGAATACGGACAACAATCCGTTGACCTTTTACAAAACGCAGGATACGGTCACTAGCACGATCGGTCGATGGATGTATTACATCGACCAGTTCCACTTTGACCCGTGCCACATTCCCGGTCCCGCCAATCGAGCTGCGGACGCCCTATCACGACGGCTCGACTTTTGTGCCATTGTGACTGCGACATTCGACCTCGATGACGATCTGCAGCTGCATTTCGTCAAAGGCTACAAGTCTGATCCGACTTACTCTACGCTTTACGCAGAGCATTCATCGGATCACCCGCCGGCTAGCCACTATCGGATATCCGACGGGTTCCTTCTCCTTCACACGAGAGGAAAGGACTTGTTGGTTGTGCCCCAAGATCGCATCTTACGGACTCGTCTTCTCGACGAATTCCACGACGCACGACTTTCGGCACACCTTGGCGTGAACCGCACACTAGCACGCCTCCGCCAGCTTTTTCACTGGCCCTACGTCCTTAATGACGTCACGAAGTACATTGAGTCATGTGCAGTTTGCCACCGTAACAAGGGTCGATCTCGAGTCCCCTTCGGCGAACTGAAACCGTTGCCGATTCCTCGGCCACCAAGCCTTCCATTGCTATGGACGTGACAGGCCCGTTTCCCCACGATCGCCACGGCCATGACCGTATTCTCACGGTCGTTGACCGTTTGAGCAAGTATGCTCGCTTCCTTCCTTGCAAGTATCATGCTGCAGCGCCCGAGCTCGCACGACTCTTGCACGCCGGTTGGATTACCAACCAGGGTGTTCCGGAAGACATAGTGAGCGACCGAGATACTTGCTTCATGTCAACCTTTTGGACTTCCCTCATGGCTGAGTCCGGTACGACAATGAAGCCGAGCTCGGCTCGGCACCCGCAGACGGATGGCCAGACGGAGCGAGCGCACCAGACCGCTCAGATGATGTTGCGTACGCTCATCCGTCCCGACCAGAAAGATTGRGTTGACCGGCTTCCCGACATCGAGTTCGCCTATAACACTTCGGTGCACCCGGCGATCTGCGTCACACCATTCGAGTTACATCATGGTGGAGAGAAAGCACGGATCTTCGCTGATCTTCTTTTGCCACTGGCTGCCGACATAGACGTCCCTTGTTCTCCCGCTTCCGTTCGGAAGTACCGGGACTTGCTGATCAAAGCCCGCGCATATATGCAAAAGGCTCAGATCCGCATGCAGCAGCAGGCTAACCGACGTCGACTTCCATGTCCTTTCCGCGAGGGAGACCTTGTTTGGGTCCTCTCCGAGGAATTTGCGCTCGAGCAGGACGTTTCG